AAGATTTCAAGTTCTTCAAAGGCACGAAGCCCCACCGGAAAAGTAGATCATCTGCATTGCTAATATCAAACTTCATCAATAAATTAATCTTTATATGATCGTCAAGACTGTAATTAACAATGTTCTTTGCACAAAAAGCCAAAGTGTTAAGTCAAAGAACGAGATTGGATCTTGTTCGCTACCCAGTAAAGATTTCAAGTTCTTCAGAGGCACAAAGCACCACCGGAAAAGTAGATCATCTGCATTGCCAATATCAAACTTCAAAAATAAACTAATCTTCATATGAACGTCAAGACTGTAATTAACCATGTTCCTTGCACAAAAAAGCAGTTGAGAGACAATATCATACAATACCAGAAAATCTACTTTTGGCCCTCACTGCATGTTAGTATACATAGTAGGAACGGAATGATTGTTACGTCCATGAAAAATGATATATAAGTCTAGATGTCAGTATGATAACTACAGTTCACAACAAGAGAGCCAGAGGTCCAAGCATTTCTAACTAACTTGCTCCAATGTGGGATCCTAAAAACGAAGGGTCGCCTATTAGTAGATAATAAGAACTACTAGATCTCACTTATCCCATCTATATGGTAACAGGAATTTTGAGCTTTGGTTTTCGAACTACAAGTTTTGAGGTAATTCTGTGATTTACTAGCAGTTGGATTTTGGCTGTCTTATGAGAGGGACGCTTGTGGAATAAAAATAATTTTGAGTCTTTCTCAATTGTCTTCCAAACCTTGGAGTGATATTTGACGTCAATCAATGAGTCCATATTCTCATATACTATGTGACTCGAGAGTTTTTTAGTCTATTCGTGAGTGAATTGAAATGAACTAGAAGTTTGTTTATGAATGCCGTGTTTTTACATTTCCATTCACACTTCCCCACATCAACACTCCTCGTGATGATATTCTTGTTAACAAACTTCCAGCATCGAACGAGTAGGGCATAGTGTTGTTGGACTTGTACAAAATGTCCCGTTCTTTATTCAAAAATATTCTTTAACATGCTCTTAACAACACTGTATGTTTCATTTTATTTTGAATTTTTCCCATAAGCAATTATGACTCTAGACACTTTCCTTCCCTTCTTTACTTGCCTTTCCATGGGCGGACCTACAGTAGGGCCTAGTGGGGCACGTGCCCCACTAGATGTTGAAGATTTTTTTTTTCATCAAAATTCAAAACCCTCACATCTTTCCTCTCATCTCTCCCGTCTATGCGCCGTTGAGTCTTTGACGGCCGCACCGCACCAGTTCACTCTCCGTCCTCTCTCACACAATTGACAGTCCCACGGCACTCTCCCACCACACGGTGATACACCACACACTGACACGGCCACCCAAGGGCGGACACGACAATTTTTTTGTTCGCATCAATCTCGCACCGTAGCCATGCTCTACATCCGCCCGTTCCAACTCTCCCTCCCTCCTCTCTGAGCAATGAGCTCTCTCGGTCTCCTCGGCAGAGGACATTGGT